TGTTAATATAATACATAAAGTATAATACTTTCGTTAAATTTTGTGTATACTTACTTGTTTCATATTTTGAGGGTTGCTATAAATGGTTTAAGTTATAATTATTTCATATACTATCGACAACCTATTAGTTCTTAATTTAATCAGAACAACTTTTTATTGCATTTTGAAAAATGTTTGAAATAAAAACCATACTTTGCTTAGATATTGTTTTATGAGGGATATTAGTATTATTAAATTATTCCGAGCTTTTTTACGCCCCCCTTTAAATTCGCAGGCCCCCTTGTCCCTACCTCCACACGTCCATGATGAGGCGTGGCTATAATAACAACACACTAGTACCCGTCAACTGATATCAGAGTCTTACCTATTTATATTTGTTTTTCCCATTCATGCTGGAAAGATACAAAATGGTGAGTAGTTGCTTATTGCTCGTATTTGACCACTGAACTTTGAACACATAAAATTGATTACTTTCACAGTTCTTGAAATATTCAAAAATGTAGTTTTTAAATTTTTATTTTTGTTTAGTGATATTTAGTCACACTGCTTTCACACCTGATTAGTGATTATCAATATTTAATTTCCGATCACGATGTAGTGAAGGTATATGTATATAAGATAGATAATTATTATATAATTTATAAAATGTGCGATGTAAGCTATAATATTCTATAACATTTTCCACTGAACATTTAACTAAGTAGAGGTGTTAACTGTACTTCCAACTATAGTTCTAAATTAAAATTGTGTTATTATTTTTCATAACCATGAAAATTCAAGTATATATTTTCATGAAGTTGTAGTACCCGATTTATAATTCTTATGTATTATGTAAAAATATGTGCTTATAAGGAAGCCACCAAATGCAATATTCAAATTTGATTTTTAACATTAATATTATTATATAAGATATAAGTTTTCATAGATAATATGATATTTCACCAATTCACCATGTATTCCATCGTGAAACGGAAAGCATACCGTGACTTGCTATCAGGATCATAATATTTTGATTAACATACGAATTCCATGTATTTAGTTTTCACTGTCTTTGACGCAAACGGTAACTTAACTAGTTAATTATTTTTGTTTTTACCTTTATAACTTATTCAGTGAACAAGTTATTGTTGTAACTTAACGTCTTGTAATAGTTAATCATCATTATCGTACAGTTAAATTAATTTTCTTTTCACATCATGCTGAGCCAACAGACAATACTGATTTGTTGACTGTTTTTGTACAACTTCGCTTTGCCCTTTGGTTATGCCACTTGTATAACGCATATGTATTTATATTCGAGTAAGGTTCTAAAATAAAGCTCAATCTTGTTCCCATTAAAAACCTCCTATTTAGGGGAGTATTGGGGGGCTCCTAAGTTATTGCCACTAAGTACCAAGGCACATTTGTGCTGCACTAAAATTGGCTCCTTCCTGCTCTTTGGGTATTTTAATGAACTCGCCTTCCCCATTTTCTTTAACATATCCTCTGCTTTTTAACTTAAAAATGGTCCATTAACACGGGCATCTATTTTCTCATTTTTAAGTACCATTCCTTCATGACATTTTCTTTCTCGCCTATTTTTATTTTCCGGTTTTCTACTACTCTCGTTTCCCAACATAGTTACTCTCAAAATATTATAACAGTCTTTCAAAATCCTGGTCAATGTACAATTATGAGAAAAGCTTAATCGAACTGCAGTCGTACCTAGTTTTTTGGGAGCATGTCGTACGACTTCGACAACTCGCACTTCTCTGCCGAACTTGTTATTAAACGAATGTTAATTATAATATTATGTTTTGTCATGTGTGAGTCCAGGTGAGTTGATACGCAAAGAAATTCACGGTTTCGGGCAGTAAAAGTGCTTCGATTTTCAATTTTGTGAAAAAATTTTAAATTGTCAGAGTACAATATACCTACTATGGACTGAAATATAACATATATTTCATTATTTATGGAAAACCGTTATCAGAAGACTTTATAGTAATATATTACTTAATACATAGGTACCTACAAAATATATACTATTAACAACTCAGAAAATGATAACTATACATTCGAATTTTTATTTTGACATTCTTGAAAATATCGTCTGATAACGATTTATACTAAAGTGGGTTGATTCACAATGTACAGTGATTCTTTTATCGTGATCCGTCAAAATCCTATTCAGCCGTCAAACAACTATTTTTAATATAACTTTTAGGACATAATATATTATATTATTATATAGGTACTAATCTACGGTTTTACATAATTTAAATGTTGACGTTCTAAGGTTCAAAAATACAAATCGAAAATGTGTAGCATGGCTGGCAGGCGTATATAATACCCGGATGAAAAATTGCCACTTAAATTAGTGGTCTATTTGAAAATGTTTTATAGGGAAGATTAGCAATGTTACAGTTGTTGTGTAATAGTTTATAAATACATATTTTAACTTGGAATTAGGACAAGCCAACAACATAATAGTGTAAACAACGAGCATATTGCGTGAGTGAGAATTTACCCCCTACACAATTATACCCTTGATTGTAGTGACATGACTTCATATCGATACTTATAAAATATATAATTTCTAGTCATACTTTACTCTACGGGACATTATTTTTTACCATCCTGCATGGCGTAGAATATATTAATCGTATAGGTAAGTTATCTTATACGTTTTTATACATACCTGCTGTACCTACATGCAATACGAAATCGCTTCGGCGGCACATGTCTGTGGTTTCTTTTAATTTTATTATTATTAGGTATTCACTATAAACCAGTACTCGTACAACAGTCGTACCTACCTATACATACCTCCATTTTACATCTATATCAAATATATCTACATAACTGTACATCCACCGCCGATAGGCCTCGCATGACTTTATATAATAATAATAATATTATGTATAATAATATATACCCGATGTGTATAATACATTTAAATAAATAAGCGAGCCGCGTGCACATGATATTTTCATACATATAAGACTCATTTTTCTCTTCATTTGACAAGTACCTACAGTGCATGATAAAATATATAATATATATTTAAAAAAATTATATAAGAAATCAAAAATAATATCTAAATCGAAATGTTGATGGTCATACCCCGCTCGGACAAGCCAAACTTTCCATGTAAGCGGAAGACACCCTTTTTTTTATCCGCGTACATGCTTATTGTAAATTTAAATTACAGATTGTATGTTTTTAAAATAAAGTTAAAAAAAAAAAAAATCGAAATGTATCTTAATGTTATTCATAATATTATATTAAAAAATTATTAAAGCGCAACAACAGCTGACATGTCTCTAATATTATTCTTCTGTAGGTAATAAGTAATGGGTAATGGTTAATTTTCTTAAGACCATTTTACAGACAATTCGGTGAATATGCAATCGCGTTGCTATAATGATATATTTTTAATCAAACAACACTGTTTTAACTGGTGCTTCCACCGCCTGCACCTTTGATTTTAATCTAAACTATTTTTAAACTCTGCCAGAATACTGGTCAAGTTAAAAGGTTATGAAAATGTCTAATTTCTCCACCAGTTTTATTTTCTTACTTGTACCTAATGGGTATAACGTGCGGAAACTTTAACAGTGCGATTCTTTTGCCCATTTTCTTTTTTTAGTTTTCTTATTTTTCATTATCACTTCTGCATTAGCTTCTAATACACACGGGATACATAATAGTTAATTACGTAAAAAACGGGTGTGGAACAGCGGAAACTGATTTGATGTGCGTAATCGCGGGAGTTAGACAAAAAACTGAAAAACTGCAGTCGACACTATGTGGTCAATTTCAATGTACAAACAGTCCATGTGTTAGACGAACGCCAAACAATGTGGAAAAATATTAAGTGTGAGTGGTTCTCAAATGTACGAATAAGACAAAATACCAAACAAAACTACACAGAATATTGTTCATGGATAAATAAAACCGTAGTGTATGACTAACAAAGTAATAGTGAATTCGAAATTCCCCGTGGAAAAGTTAAGAAAATGGCCATGACTTATAAATTTATAGGCGCAAATAGGGGTTAACGCTCCCAAAAATGCAATAGTCCCCCTCCCAAACATTTCCTAAATGTGTTTTAATCTTATTCACTATTATTACAGTATAAGAATTAAGCCCCCCCCCCCACAAAAAAAAAAAATCTCAAACTTCCTATGCGGATTATACATATTCATATTAAATATTATTTATCTCATAAACATTTATCACGTGTATATAAATGAGGAAACTAAATAGTGAATACCATTGCAAGCAGGATAACACCGAACAAGTAAGTATATGTGTACAACACTGAAATTTCTACAAAAAAAATAATAAAAATAAAAGAAATGAAACGTATTTTGAGTTAAGTGGACTCGGCGCCGGTTGATTGTTCAGAGCAACATTTAGGCAGCAATTTATTTACCACATTAATATTATAAATTATTGTGCTGTGGTAAAAGATGACTGTGGGTAATATCAAGCACGGATTAAAGATCCACTAGGCCTCCAGACAGATTGAGGGCTCCTTTCAAGTCTCAAACTTCTACCCTTCTAACTAAAAAACATTTTTAATTACTACTTTTTGCAGTTGCATAATACAATATAACTGTATAATTGCGCGCCATTAAAAATTTAAGTTAAAATTAAATAATCAAAGAGACTAAGTGAAATAATAAATTATGCAATATTATGCGTATGATATTATACACAATTATCTTAACTAAATAAATAACAGTTCATAATATAGAAAACATAATATATTATTTAGACAGAGATAGGTCATAGGTACCTACGTAATAGCTAGGTATACTATTATGGTCACCCCAACAACCACCGAAATAACACAAATATATTCAATTTCAAGCGTTTACACATTAATGTAAAATATTGTTACATCATACGAACAGGTCTAAACCACCCAATAACGATTTATGATTGAATAACAATAAGTAATAATAGAAACTATTTGAAAATGTACATGGTAATGGCACTTCCGTTGTCAGTAATATTATTCACAACTTTTATGCTATTGTTATGAAATATAAATTTCACTACATTATATTAAATAATTGTTAAAACTAATTGCCTGTTAAATTGATAATTAGATCTAAGATCCAAAATTTGTTTAACCTTTTTCCACTGCTTGGATAGCCTATAAAAACAAAAATTAATTTTTCAAAAACATTCTGTATTACTCATTTCGATATTAAAATATAAAAGTCCCAGTTGAAACATTTCAAATATATAAACCTATTTTAAAAAGTATTAACCGCTCAACGCCGAGTCTGCCTTACCCGCCATGGCACAAGTATGACGACACTTAGAGCAAGATGCTATACCGATCTTCAAGTTGGCAGTATTCACCGGCCCGTCGACGCTTGAGTTCACTCGGACTTTGGGATCTGGGGTCCAAGGTCCCACATTTGTGAGCAACAGTGAACGTTTATGATCTGCTTGTCTGTGTTGTAAAAGATAGATAAAAAAGTTTTAAAATATTTCTAACATTGTATGAGTTGTGCCGACCTACTAGCGATTGTCACTACATCGTGCGGAAAACAACTCGTCGTTTCTATTTTCTACAAATCGTCGGTCGCACGCTAAATGCATTTCAGAAAACGGAAAATAATTTCATTTCCAGCTGGTAGTTTTCAGTATACTGTGACATTTCAGTACTAGAACAATACAATAACACTATGTACCTATTGTAGTCCTATACCTATAATATATAATACAAAACCAATATTAAATAGGAATTTATAGTTTTATCACATTTCATTGGCCGTGTTGGATACAACAGTATTACTTATATTTATTGACCATAAAGTCGTGTGGACACTGGACATAATATTTATATAATAATATTATGTTAGTGTCGCGTTTTACCTACATCCTACACCCAACTCTATAGTTGTGTTGAGCTTATATCAAAGGATTAATTCGTCATATTATCATAGACCTAACATAATATTATAATATTGTAAAGCAATATGAATTTGACTGCCCAATAATTATAAATACCTAATATTATATTATAGATACACTGGCGTGTAGGGTTACACACAATATTATGCTCGACAGTGCGGAATCACATTTGTATAATATTATGTTCTTGTCTGTGTATTTATTTTACACTCGTTCAGTGTTATTATAATAATACTTTTATATTATACTTATAACATTATGACTTGTGCGATAAATTATTAAAATGGAAACAAAGATTATTTTTTTCTCGTGAAATTGCTCGTTGTGGAAAAATAGATTCTCGTTTTGCTATTTAGACAAAAGACGAAATATGTGTAGCGAATTATTATTATATTACGCCTAGAAACAGAAAAAAAAAGTAATTTTGTGTGCAATGCAGTATATTTAATATTGTATGTATAACATTATTATTATTATGTATACTTTGATAAAATCATATTATACAGCACTTGATGACTAATCTAAATTTCAACAATGCGAAAAATATCACTTTCATTGCTAGACACATTGCGAATAATAGTAATAATTATAGTCTGATATTATTTTTGTGCACTGCGTGCGACAACTATTAATATATTATGCAGAATAATATGTTTATTTTGTGTTTTTTTTTTAAAAAGGTTGAAATAAATAATAATATATGTATATGATTTTTTTTCTGTATTTTCGTGTCAATAGTTTTTCCACATTCGGTATTGATACCGTGAATGGTGCGACACCGGTTGTAGTGACATATTGGGTCTTAAGACCTAAACATATAGGGCCCGTCAAAATTCACTATTATATTGTTTAATATGCTAATTTTTATCGGTTTTTATGACCTTTACTTTTGGTGAATTTAGACAAATATTTTATTTATATAACAACCACATATTACACGGGACATGACGTACTATCAACGTTTTATGCCTAATTTCAAGATTAAGTGCAAAATATTAAGCAATCAGTGTCAAACGATATGGCTATTATCGATTTAAGTTCAAAACAAACTTTGAAAAAGCAGTAGAAACGAAAATACAACTAGATTTTTATTATTTAAAAAACGTTATAAACAAAAATAACTGATTTAAAAAAAAAATTTAGTATAATAAACAATAATAATAATATTATGTAATGAAAATATACTTTCATTTTCAATAATAATATACAATATACGAGTGTACTATTATATGTAAATAATTATAATAATTATTATTGTTAATAATAAAGATTTAAAATATAATAATATTATTATGTTTAATAGGAAATACATTTTTTTTCAAATTTTGGTTGTTGTGACTATATCGGTTACCTATTTTATCCTGGTCCTTTGGACGTCGTTATAAACGATTTCTTCTGTACATAAAAGCATGCGGGACATGTCGATAATGTACGAAATTGGTCAATACACTTGAGCATTAAATTACACGGTTGTGAACATGGCATGGAATTAAAACATATAATAATATATAACATATTTTATAATGGTGCACAATTTATGTTCAAAAATGCACGTTTCCGCAGTAAATAATAATATTATAATCATAGCATAAAGGCTTTCTATACGTCATATTGTGGTATGTATTATTTATTGCTGGTCAGATTTTAAAAAACTAGTTTTTAACAGAATTTCATTACAAACCTCTAACTATATAGGCGTGACTGCCGGGCCGACTGGTAAATAGCACTAAAAAACGCATTCTCCCGGACACCCTTTGGTCCAACTAGTTTCTATACCATAGTAGATGTATTATACTTATACTATAATACTATACCTACACATAACGTTTATTATTATAGTATTCTAGATTTACTATATTATACACAGAACCGATTTCGGGAATTTACAGCAACGCATGTATTGCAATATTGTATACTTATGATATACAGGATGGTCCATTTAGCCTTAAAAACCAAAATGTTTTCTTTTTTTATAACGACATGCGTTATCATTATAATTCCTTACTCAAAAATAGAATATGTTTTGGAGTAGGTTCTTCGATAAAATATACAAATCTAGTTTTGGATAAGTGGTTATTGTGATTTATATCAGTAAGTATTTAAAGTCTAAATGAGAGGAGTGGAATGGAATAGGGAGGGGTACCCCGCACACATTGGTCCTCTACACTCTACTCATCTGAACTTAAAATATTGACCTACCTCTAATGAACTAATGTTCCGAAATTTGTATAAATCGAAACACTCCAAATCGTATTTGCTTCAGCATATGAATTAAAATATGTATGTTGTCATTCAGAAGAGTAAAAAACTGTTAAAAAAAAATGATGGCAATAAAAAAAATAGTAAAAATGTTATTTTATAATGACTTTAATGATAAATAAAAGAAATGTTTTCAAAAATGTTTCAAACAACGAGTGTCGTACGTTACTTATGGATCACTCCGTATATAATTAGGTACTCATTACTGCAGGTCACCTTAGGTATTAAAATATGAATAACAAAGCAACGCTTATCCACTGCATGTAAGTAATGGCTGTTGGACGATTGAGCACGTATTGTACCATTTTGGTTGAACTATTGATGAGCACATTCAAAATGTCCGATGAACAATAACCTGGGATGGTTGAGTTACTTGGTTAGTATTGTAACTATACTTACCTATACCTACGGCACATACTGTAACTAGGAAATTTTAAACATTTGTTACATAAACAGTTGTAGTTAGTAGCTCATATTTAAAGTTATATTTGAAGTTTCAAGTTGATAAATTATTTTTGTTTATTTCTTCAAGAAAATAACAACACTTAAAAAAATTCTCTAGAACCTATGCGGCAACGAGAACAATTCATACAAGCAAGTCACACGTAAAATTTAAAAATGTTAGAAGTTCGAGTATAATATAATAACAATAAGTAACTTTGTATAGTACCAGTACGGTAGAAGCAAATTACATAAACGTATGTAAATGTACGTAAACAATATTATACTCTTATGTGCTCCACTTTTTTAAACTCAATTGAGTTGATATATCTGTCTATACCGCCATTAACTTTAAACTTAGCGAGTACCACGCGTGATGTGTTGCGTGTATTAATGCTTACAATGCTGTGGAATGCAATGTGATTTCACTGATTCGATGAAATGTGTCAATTAACCGATTGTTTCTAATAAGCGATTGGTTTGATTTGAACTATGAAAAAAAAAAAAATGAAAAATAAGCTAAAAATGTTTGTATAATATAAAAAAAGTACATATATGTACAAATGTATATATTTTTTGATATGATTTTAATAACTCCTACTTCTGTTTAGAACTTAAATCTTGGCGTTTAGACATTTTTAGATTTAGATTTTTAGAATAACGAAACACTTTTAAATCACCTTTACGTACGCACGCCGAAGCTGAACTAACGATACGTATAGGAAAGAACATTCTTATACATCGCATAGAACGTACTGCACTTAAGATAAAGTATAGTCCAAATATAAACGTAACGACAGCAAAGATAAGATTAAATTACATTGGTTATCACACGGATAAATGGTGAATATATGTCAACTGACCTCCCATTTGTTTCAAATAACCGATGTGATGATTCAATAATCAGATTTATTTTCAATGTTCTAATATACGGCCGGTCCGTCCCTGCACATTTTGTTTCAATAACGCGATTGTATCAATTATCCGTGTTTCTAATAAGCGGCTTCTACTGTACTTCTCGCAGCTACCAAATTTAAATAATACAATTAAAAAACCTATCTGCTTCGAGCCAAGGCGTTAAATTTTCTCCGTCACTAATAGTTTTTGCACTATTTAATACTCTCAAACAAATTGAATAATAGATTCTTACCTATGTCGGGTGTGTTAGAATTTAACGAGGTCTTACTGGTATATAATACAGCTAGACATCGAATGAATAAAACGTATTTTTTGAATTTTTTAGTTTTCATGGTTTTATACTTAATTTCTGTAGACATAGCGTCGCTGTTTCAAATACAAATAATTCGATTCTATAATTGCTGTTATTCTGTTACGTGATAAACTAACATTGATTTTGGATGAACACAAATACTGCAATGTGATCCACTTACCTATACCTAATAATAATAATTAAAAAGTAGATTAACTTTTTAAACTGCAGAGTTATGTTAGTATATTTTTCCATATTAACTTTAAAGTTAGTGAGTTTCGTGCATATTAATTACTGCTGTAATGCCGTATAATGTGATTATATCAATAAACGGCTTTCAGCTACCTAATATTTATAAAACAGTTTTATTCTCCGTCTCTTGCACAATTTTCTCTCAAACATATGAAATACCTAATAAATACCTAAACTGAGTGTTTCAGAATCGAATGCGGTCGTACTCACAAGCGAACGTCATGCATACAAATGAGAATTTAAAAAATATATTAAGTCTACATCAACATAGTGAAATAATACAACGTGTTAATTTAATGCAATAGGAGTTATCATTATATTATTATATTATTATACTTAAACGCAATACGCGGAAATATGACACATAATATTTTGCAGTAGACCGTAGAGCCGTACATTAGTATTATTATTTTTATTATTATCCGATAATCTCAAACAAAAGTACAATATGAACATGACTAAGCGTCCGAGGAATATTATGCAAATATAGTCATAGAACAATTCGAGCAGGTCGGCAATTTTAAATACTCTGGAAGCCAATTCGAATCACTGGAAGGCAACGCTTAACGAAATAAAACCGAGG